TAAATTGTCCCCATTTGTACTTCCTGTTTAAACAATAACCAACATGATGATGGGTTAAATGAAGTTGATATTGTCACAAACGTAGCCTCACTAGTAATTAATGTAGTTTAATATGGTTGTTGGCACACATCTCACATGACAGATAATGTTCCAACATGTCACTGATAGGACCTTTCAGCACAGCTTTAGGAGATCTACCAGGCATTGCCGAGGTTGGTTAGGTCAAAGGGTTGAACCATGTGTAATTCAGAACAGAAGAGGTCCCACGGTCACTCCACAAAAACAATTACACTACTTATTTCACTCTATCCCTTGCCCGAAATTCACAAGCCTCACAGTTTCAGTGCAGTCAATCTCATTCTGCCCTTGGGCTATAAGCCACATGAAAATATGTGGTGCTGTGTTTATAAATCTAATCAAAAATAGAAACAGTAGACAAGCACAATGAGGTCCTACTATGGATCATGGGAATTCTCTAAATTCTGAAGGCACTTTTGTTTAACTTCTATAGGCCCTCTCTTACTACTACATTGTCTACCACACTCGTTAATCATCCCCTTTACTTGTCAATGATACAAAGGAGACTACATGTCTCCTAATTTCCCTCCAATCACCCTACAAATAATATTATGAAATATAAATGTTAGGAATATCCCTATTTATTTTTAAGTAAATATTAATCTTCACTTACCTCTCTATCCATGGATGTCTGCCCTTTCTCAGATGTATAACAGAATGAAGAAAATGATTATGCCTACAATCAAAAATAGAGAGCACACAAAAACAAACAACACTTCAACCTACACACAGTTGATCTAATTCCTATTTATGTTTGGCACATATGTTTGCAGAGAACAATTCTAAAAGACGCTGCTAGAGGGGAAGAGGATGTTTCATCTTTGCAGACCTAACGAAGCCCAGCCCGAGAGCAAAGTGAGGACAGTGCAGTTTCTTCACTTCCTTCCAGCAAAGAGAAGTCCTCATCAGGGTAAAAACACAGTTAAAACTAAAGTGAAATTTGGCACCCTCAGGAGAGATGCAGATGTGTTTGGGGGCAGAGTGAGTTAACTTGTAACTCTAGAGAACGTGGGCATTCTAGGTCACCCTGCAGTAATTGTAAAGGCTGTGTGCAGTTTGTACAGGCATAGCCACACTTAACCTGGAGGTAGTTAAGTGACTCGAGTTTCCAGCATAGGTGCTGGAACTAGGGGTGCTGCTGCACCCCCTGGCTTGAAGTGGTTCCCATCATATACAGGGTTTACAGTTTGGTTCAATGGCTCTTAGTACCCCCATTGTACAAATTGTTCCAGCACCCCTGGTTTCCAGTGTTGCAACTCCTTGTATGCTAATAATTCTATCTTCATTTAAATACACAGGGCTAGATACACAGAAGGACATGTTGCAGTGCCTAACCTTTAGGCACCTAGAAAAATCACAACACTGAGATTCACAAAGCCTGAGTCAGGCACCTAGGCCCCCTGTACAATGCATGGGGAGAGAGAAAGATACGCTAGATTGTGATCCACAAAGCCAGAACACTAGGTGGAGTGCCGTTTAAGCTAGCTAGTGGGAGATGCTGACAACTGGGATGTCTCCTAAGCCCCAGCCCTCTCTCAGAGATGTGGACCTCTAGCAGAGATAGGCACCTAAGTGGAAACCCCTCTCCTGGAGTCAGATGGCTTAGGTGACTGAGGAGTTTCTTGGGAGAATGGAGTGAGGCGCCTGTCTAACTCGAACAGGGGGGAAATGGCGTGAGTAGTAGTGCCTAACTTCTTTTAGCTCAGTGATTAGAGCACTCACCTGGGATGTGGGAAATGCAGGTTCAGTTCCCCCCTCTGCCATGAAGGGAGAAAGGATTTGAACAGGGAGTCTCCCCCTTTTGAGAAGAGGGCTCTAATCACTGAGTTATGGGATTGTCTCATATGGGGTTCCCTCAATCTCTTCCATTGAAGCTGTTCCACTGTGGATACATAATTAAAGAATCATTGGCATAGGGGGAGTGGATCCAGAGTCTCCCACTTCCCAGATAGGTGCCCTAACCACTGGACTATAGAGTTGTTCTCAGTCGTTTGCTCTCTGTGCCCAATGACTCTACAGATTTAGGTGCCTTAATTTGGGGCTCAGGCATCTAAGTACCCTTGTGAATCTCACCCACAGTAACTACATTTGCAAAACTCCTATTAGTTTCTCTAGTGAAGGATCAGACCCATAAGGAATAGCAAATTATACAGTCATTTCATTATGTATCTATACAGATACACATTCAGATTGTTTGGCACAGGATAAAGACAAAAAACAAAACCTTCAAAAATTAAAAATGTCCCTTCAAATTCCCTCAGAGCTTTAGTTGATCTTCCAGGCTAGAAGAATTCATTATGCAAAGGGTTTTTCTGAGTTCAGTTGAAGAAAAAAAAATTCTATTCAGGGCAGCACATAAGTCTGTGGTTAATTTTAAGCATGTGCTTAAGTCCCATTGAAATTAAGTACATGTGTAAATCCCATTAAAGTTATCCATATGCTTAAGTGCTGTCCTAACCAGGGATGGATTTAAATACAGACCTGAATGTTCTCTAGAATAGGGGCCTCCTTTTTGTTGCTGGGATTACGCACAGAGCACGGTACCAGCTCAGTGCGAGTAAGAATGGCATAGGGAACATGCTAGCTGAATTTTCAGTACATCAAGCACAGCAAGTGACAAGAGGTTTGCTGTTTGGCTTTAGCAGAAACTTTACTTTGTTTCGTTGTTTATCTGTGTGAAAAACCTTAAAACCAAGGTTAGTTTGTTTAGGACAAGTGAGGAATGGCTTTTTGGATTTGTCAGAATTAATCAAAAAAAACATGAAGCTCTCAGCTAGGAAGTCTACCAATTTAACTAAAGGTGGTGCCTGGTCAGCCTGCTGGTCCCCCCTCCCAGCTGCTGCCATCACCACAACCCATCAGCCACTCAGACATCACCCCAGCCCCCAGCTGCTGACCAGGTTTCTCATACCCTTCTTTTAGGGGCAACACCCCACCCCTCATGTCCCAGTGAGAGTCCCCACCACTCTTCCCAGCTCAGTATTCTCCCATTTTCCACTGCCATCCCTAACCCAGAAGAATACATCCCTTTAGCACTTAGCTTCTGCCCTGCTAGCAGCATTTCAGCACAGATGGAAGTTCTGTGCAGAGCAGAATGGAGAGGAAAAATCTGCATCTCCAGAAGTCATTACCCCCCCCATATCTGCTCTCCCTTCAGTAAAGACTCTATCCCTAAAACTGGACAGGGCTACATGAAGTATGGCTGCAAAATCAGGGCTGTATCCAATGTCCATTGAAGTCAATGGAAGTCTTTTCTGAATCTTCATTTCTTTGTTCAGCAAGGAGTGAAAGGTTGAATTCTTTCTAATCACAGCTGGTGCTGAGTCTCCTGACCATTGTCACCTTCACTGGATACCAGTGCCCTCCTGTGGGGGGGTGCCAATATCATCACAGGTATTAGTTTCAGGAGGGCTCCAGCGAATTCTGCAGTTTCTGCTGCCCTGACAGCTACTGTATAATCTCCTGCATTGTCTGCAGAGTTGGTACAGAAATTCCTCTGCCCTCCATAATGTGTAAAACAGAGGTGCATAGAGGTCATACAACTTGCCTCAAGTCACACATCAAGTCAGTAGCAAATTCAGAAAACTTTACCTAGGAACTATGACTCTCAGAGCCAGTATTGGGGCCCTAGACAAAGATCATATCTGATTCCCCTCCCCACTTGATTCCCTTTTGCTTGCCTTCTACTTTGCTCAACGACCCACCTATGTCCTGCTCCCATTGAATTCAACAGCTGAACTCCCATTGATTTCAATGGTGCAGCATCAGATCCCTAGTTACTTATCTGAATAATCCCTTCCTTCAGAAAGGTGTTCTGGGTACTGCTTAGTTCTGTGCAGCTATAAGAAACAAAGGGGGCAAGAATTCCACCAATAGAGAAGACTGGTTCAGAACAGGCCTGTTGATAAATGACTATGTCAATCCCAACATCATTGTGGTGACCCCTTTTATGTAGAATTGTGGGCAGCTGCTATTAGAAGGGGTAGGTTTGGGAATGAGAGGGGGATAAAAAGTGTCACCTTACATAATGCAAACAAGTATTGTGGTATGTGGTGATGTGAATTTGCACAGGCCTGGTACACAGAATGTATCACATGCTAAGGGGGAGAACTGTAGAGGGAACTCCATCCTAAAATATTGGCAGAAAACCAGTAAGTTAATAATAGCCCTAACAGCCTATTGAAGACTCTCTCAAACATCGAGCAGCTGTCCTTGGTCTTCACCAGGTGCATCTTGATGGAATGTTGTATCTGGTGGAAAAAGCCCATCAGTCACTTAAATTCAGTAGAGGAGCCATGAAGGCTATGCCTCTCCCTCTCTAACTCTTGATTTGGGGGGTTATTGTCAAGTCTAATCTCAAATACTTTTTTCCTTAAAGAAAGGCCCTGACTCATAGACTTTAAGGTCAGAAGGGACCATTATGATCTTCTAGTCTGACTTCCTGCACAACGCAGGCCACAGAATCTCACCCACCCACTCCTGTAACAAACCCCTGACCTATGTCTGAGCTATTGAAGTACTCAACTTGTGGTTTAAAGACTTCAAGATGCAGAGAATCCTCCAGCAAGTGACCCATGCCCCATGTTGCAGAGGAAGGCGAAAACCCCCCAGGGCCTCTGCCAATCTGCCCTTGAATAAAATTCCTTCCCAACCCCAAATATGGCGATCAGCTAAACCCTGAGCATATGGGCAAGACTAACCAGCCAGACACCCAGGAAACAATTCTCCGTAGTAACTCAGATCCCACCCTATCTAGTGTCCCATCACAGGCCATTGGGCATATTTACTGCTAATAGTCAAAGATCAATTAATTGCCAAAATTAGGCTATACCATCGTACCATCCCTTCCATAAACTTATCAAGCTTAGGCTTGAAGCCAGATATGTCTTTTGCCTCCACTGCTCCCCTTGGAAGGCTATTCT